AAAAACGGATCATGTTAACTGAAAATGTAATTTACAATGAATACTCGTGTTCTCAAAATATTTCATTTTCTGAAGAAGAACTAATCAGTGATGCTACAGGTAAGTCACTTGCACATAAAGTGGATGAATCTGAGGGATAGATGTAGTTCTACTTCTTTTCAGTTGTGGTATCTTTATGTTGGATTGACCAAATGCTGACTCCTGGATGAGCACAGCACCGCTGTCTGTGCTTGTTCTTTTCCTGCTGCTTCCAGGCACATCCCGAGTGTGTGGCTCCCAGCAGGGATGGAGGAAGGACCACAATGCGTTTCGTGGAGTTGCTGTGTTGGGAGTTAAGGGGATGTTCTTAGTGAAAATGCCGTGGTGTTATCTTCATGGTTTCAGTCTGGCTGCATGTCAGGTTGTTCACGCTGATGAAGCCGAGGCGTTTGGTGGGGACTTCTGTCGCTGGATACCGAGGTTCTCGGTGTGTTGTTGTGACAGTGCATGCCTGCGTGAAAGGGAAAGCAAGAGCTTGACATTCATTGTACAAGTGGAAGATGAGGCACAAGAAAACTCTTCACTGAGATATAAGAAGAGTACTTGGAAGGTGTGGTTGCTTTTTCCGTATTCTTGGAGGATTTGGGCTCTTTGTGGTAGCGACGCATATGCAAGCGTCTGGGGGCTTACTTGTCGTGGATTCTGTTCTTATGTAGGAGAGCACTTTTCTGCCATATGATGCTATGTGCACAGAAAGGAGGAAAAGGAGAAGAGGAATGAAGAAGGAAGGAACGAAGTAAAAACGAGTTTACTGGCATGTCTCAGATGCTATCGCTGTGCACAGAAAGGGAGGAGGGTAGAAGAGGGGGACATAAAAGGAATGAGAGAAGAGAAAAAAATAAAAGGAAAATGTTACAAAGGAATGACACAAAGCGGTAACTAAGGATGAGAGACGACAACATGAAAGAAGAAAAAAACAGCAAAGGAGATAAGTACCCACCGACTTTGCCTCTAATTGCTGGGCGGAGCTGGTTCCCAACGTCCCCGCCTCGCTTAGAATACCCTGGGGTCCGCTGCGGAAGCTGCTGAGGAAGTGTTGGAGGATCCGACTGGTTTTCTGTGAAGCTGGACGCCGGAAGCGACTAGCGAGTTAGAGGGAGGACCAAGGAAGCGAGTGAAAAAGAAAAATGAGACAAAGAATAACATTAAGGACAAGCAGGGTCGGAAGACACGCCTGGAAGAAATGCTCACTGCGGGTCGGATGCGGGGCCAGTATTGCCAAGCAGGAAAGGCGGCGGAGCAGCGCACGGTGTCGCTGCAGGCTCAGGAACGGCGTGTGGGCGGCTCCGCCCCGGTGCGGCG